TCAATCATCTATCTATCTATCTATCTATCTGTCATCTATCAATCAATCCTCTATCTATCTATCATCTATCTATCTATCTATCTATCTATCATCTATCTATCTATCATCTACTTTAAAATACATTTATTTATTTTGTGTGCAGGCATGGCAGGATGCACATCCCACAGAGTATGTTGGAGGTCAGAGAATAGTTTTGGAGTCAGTTCTCTCTTTCCACCATGTGGGTCCTTGGAATTAAACTCAGGTCTTTAGGCTTGGTGACAGGTGTCTTCACCTGCTGAGTCATCTGACCAACCCTATTTATTTATTTTTTGTTTTTTGTTCTTGTTTTGGTTGTGAGCCTGAGCCTTTAGCAACTACATCAGCCCTCCAGCCCCCTATTTATTTATTTTTTTAAGACAGGGTCTCTCACTAGGTTCCTGGGGATGACCCTGGATTCTGCCTTCCCCTCTCAAGTTCTGGGATTACAGGGCTGTGCAGCCGTGCCTGGTCTACGTGGTGCTAGGAATGGAACGCAGAGCTTCTTACGCACTAGGTGAGTGTTCTGTCAACTGAACTACATTGCCAGCCCCCTGAATTTGTGTTTACATACTTAGAAACAGCTTAGGTCCACCTTGTTCTTGGCCCTTTCCTCCATAGTGCTATACACGAAGAAACTACTTTTTCTTTAGTCCCAGCACTGGAGAGGTAGAGCTCTGTGAGTTTGAGGCCAGCCTAGTCTACATAGAGGATTCCAGGCCAGCTGGGGCTACAGGGAGACCCTGTCTCAAAAAGACCACACACACAAAAAAGTCAGAAAATAGGGGCTGGAGAGAGAGCTCTGTGATTAAGAGCACTGGCTGCTCTTCCAGAGGATCCTGGTTTGGTTCCCAGCACCCACATGACTGCTAACAACTGTCCTTAACTCCCATTCCAGGGGATCTGATGCCCTCTTCTGGCTTCTGAGGGTACTGCATGTGTGGGTGCACTTACATACATGAAGATATACATAAGAAAATTTTAAAAGTCAGAAATTTCTTTATATCCCCCTCCCTAAATTTTATAACCTATTGAAGAATATGAGGAGAACTATGTTACTATGTGAGCAGAAAGAAAATAAAAATATGATTGACTCAAGAAATATTTTTAATTTTTAAATTAACCAGCTAATCTGTGTGTGCATACATGTGGAGGTTAGAGGAAAACTTACAGGAGCTGATTCTCTCCTACCACATGGGTTCCAGGAATCAAGCTCGGGTCATCAGCTTGGCAAGAACCCTTTACCTCCTAAGTTACCTTGGGGCACCTGAATCAAGGTGGTATTTAAAAATGTTCCTTTAAGAGAAACATGGGCAGTTGGAGCAAAGACCTCTGAAAAATCTGAGCAGTGAGGATATTGGCCCAAATGGTCCAAATCTACTTTTAAAAAACATTAGAAGTTAGCCAAAGGTTTTCGAATAATCTGGAAACATCTATTTAAGAAGGCAGTGGCTGCCTGTTGTTGAGGACAGTGACCACAGCAGCATTTTGGCTTACTTAGTCCACTCATTCACCTCATCTCCACGATGGCCTCAGGATTTGACACACTTCCTACACGTAAACTGTGAAGACCTGAAAACTAACAGCTGGTGAGGGGCACAGTGTGGGTTTGGGGCTGCCAAAAAGTTGCATCTCTGGAAAACAGTTTGTGACCTCTTTGGAAGTTGTCTTTTAAGTTGCATTCTTAGAACATAAGATTTTTTTTTTAACTTTTACAAAAACTTTATCGAGAATTTCATACAAGCATATAAGGTGTTTTGATCAAATCCATGCCCACTACCTCCCTTCCAACACCTCCCATATCTCCCCATCACTTTTTTCTTTTTCTTTTCTTTTTTTTCCTTCTTTCATTTATTTATTTTTATGGGGCTTTTGGTTACTCTAACATTCCCCCCTTTGAAGAGGTAACCCTAAATCTTTTAAGAATTAGATACAACCTCCCAAATACTTTTGACATTTTTGGCCTTTGGAACAGAGTATGTTGCTAACAGTAACAAGGACATTTTGACTTTTAGTCTAGAAACTGGCTACTTTTCTTTGGGGTCTTTTTACCCTAACTGAGTAGCCAACTCCTACCTCCTATTCTTATCACGCCATCCTCTGAAGAGGTTACCCAAATTGCCAATGGGGAATCCGGACACAGACCACTCTGGCTTCTTCCATGCTGAGCAGGGATGCAGGGTGAAGCAATTGGAGTACCCCTTCAGTGGGTCTATCTAAAAGACTCCCAAATTGCATAATTCTTATCTCAAAAAGGAAAAGAAAGTCCTTGAATCGTGAATGTGAATAGGAGATATGAAGGAGAAGTAAAGGCAAGAGTAATTAGCATTACAAGTTCTAGACAGAATAAGATTATTCTGACTGGACTCAGAACTTTCTCTGTGAAGAGCCTTGTTGATAGGGTATTGGTCAAAAACAGTGACTGGGAATTTTTGAGCTTTGTAACTTCTTGAGCAGTGATTCCATTTGGGACTAAGAGGATGAATTAAAAAAATAAACCCATGCAAGATGAAACTGAGGTAATAAGATGTCCATACAGAGCTCTGAAAATCTCCCACAATTCCTAGCAATCTTGGGTGTGTGTGTGTGTGTGTGTGTGTGTGTGTGTGTGTGTTCACATGCACATAGGAAAGGACAGAGAAAGCCTATTTCACCTTTGGTTCTTGTTGAGACTGTCAGAAGCAGGAAGTGGAGGCTAAGGGAGAATCGTAACCCTGCCTGGCTAGCCCCTGAAGACGTGCTCTTGAATGCACAGGGAGACCACTTAATGAAGACTGGAAGATTATTGGTTAAAATACTGAAGAAAATTTCTCTGTTCATTATCTGACTAGTAAGTTACCTGAGCAGAACCTTTGGTAGTCACATATGCCGAAGAATACCGATTCTACAGAATTCGAGAGAGCCAGAAACAAAGAGCAACGGCAGCAGCAACAGAACAAATTCAGCCAGGGGAAAGGAATCTAATATTCAGAGTTGACACGTTACAGTTCTAAAATGTTTACCTTGCAACCAAATGTTACAAGAGTGGGCTGGGAGTCTAGCTCGCTGGTACAGTACATGCCTGATGTGTACCAGGTCTTGGGTTTGATTCCCAGTACTGGAAAAACATTACAAGCCATACAGGAGAAAAAAAAAGGAAAGAAATCCCTCAGTAAATAGAAACTGCCCTTTCCTTGAAGAAATCTAGTTGTTAGACTTAATAGATAACACATTCACATATTTAAAGAATTAGAAATCATGTTAAAAGGGCTGGGTGTGGTGGGGCATACCTACATTCCCAGCACTTGGGAGGCAGAGGCAGGTAGAGTGAGTTCCAGGCCAGCCAGGGCTGCATGGTGAGTTTTAGACCAGACAGGGCTATATAATGAGACTTTGTCTCAAACATAAAAATACAATCGTGTCTAAAGAATTAAAAGAAAGTACATAAAAACTGTGTCTCCTCAAATAAAGACTGATAATAGCAAACTAGAAAAGGGGGGACTGGAGAGATGGCTCGGCGGTTAAGAGCATTGGCAGTTCTTACTGAAGACCTGGGTTTGGAACAGGCATGCTGGCTCACAACAGCCTGTAACTCCAGTTCCAGGGCATCTGATGTCTTCTTTTGTCCTCTGAGGGCACTGCACACATCAGGCACTCACACAAACACACAAAATAAAAAAAAATCTTAAAAATTAAAAAAAAACTATAAATGGTTTTAAAATAAGAAGAGTTGGGAATGGTAGTGCAGGCTTTTAATTCCAGTTCTTGCGAGGCAGAGGCAGGTGGATCTCTGTGAGATCAAGGCCAGCCTGGTCTACATGGCAAGTTAGTTCCAGGCTAGCTGAGGCTACAGGGCAACCCAGTCTCAGAAAAGAAAAAAAAAAACCAAATAGAAACTCTGCAGTTAAAATTCCAATACTAAATTAAGAAAAACTTAGTAAGAATGGACAAATTTGAACTGACTGGAGAAAGTTTCAGTAAACGTTTAGATAGTTCAATTGAATAAAGTTAACAAGATAAATGTAAGATTTTCATACTGAAAAAGGATAAGAGACCCAGAATAAGCTAAAATGATCTTGGAAAAACCAAACCAAACCAAACCAAATCAAAGCAAACGGTTTGAATACAACTTACTGCCAGTGTATGATAAGACAGAATAGCAGTGTCCTAAGCATGGTCATTCAGATCAACAGAATAGAAACAAGAACAGTAATAAGCTCATATGCTTTTGA